ATTTATTACATTCTACAAGTTGTGCAACCATTCTCACCTTCCTTTTCTGAGTTGTTCCTCTCTCTTTAACTCACTGCCCCCTAAGGTTCCTATCTAATCTTTTCAGTAGCTGTTGTCAATCTGATTCCATATAGATAGTTCTTAAAAGAGCACAATGCTCAAGGCTGACCATTTTTACTAGTTAAACTAAACTATTGTTCAATTTTAAGATGACTTTAGGGGATATTTTTGGTTAAATGTTTAAAGTTTATCTCAGGGCAACAGTTTCAGGGGTTCATCCAGCCTCCACAGCTCCACAAAGTCTAGAGTCCGTGAGAATTTTAAATTCTGTTCTGCATTTTGTTGCTTTTGATCAGAATTCTTTTATGGAATCTTTGATCCAAATGTTCAGTAAAGGGAGTTGGGTACCATCCAGTTCTTTTGGCCTCATGACAAAGGAAGCAGTTGTTCATGAAGGCAATTAGCCACATATTCCATATCCTCCTCCTATTCCTGACTCTCGATCTTCCTCTGTTGTTCCAGATGAATAGATACCAAATGTTGTGCCTTGGATGGCTGCTTGCAAGCTTTTAAGACCCCAGGCACTACTCAGTGAACTAAGAGGTAGAACAGAAGCACTAAATACATTATTAGGCCAATTAACTGGGATATCCCATGAGACCATGACCCTAACCAATCACAGCCTCAACAATGACTCCTTTTTTGTTGTCGTAAATATCTCTATCACACAACTTTTGCCAATTCAACTTTTTACAGGTGTACAACTTATGGACGGCAATTACAATAATCAGCTGTGCAACTCTACCCTTAAGACAATCACTTTTAATTTAAAAGACAATATAAAATAAAGAGTGAAAAAAAGACCATAAACCCAATAACAAAAACAAAGTTGATGTGGCTATATTAATATTAGGCATGATCGATTTCAAGATAAGAGTGTTTCCAGGGATAAAAAGAGACATTTCATAAAGTCACTTCATTGGGAAGAATAACAATCCTACATGTTAAAATGACAGAACGAAAGATAAAAATAGACAATTTTCAGTCATATTTGGAGATTTTAATGTTCTCTCTCAGTTATACAAACAAAATCAGTAATGATACGAAAGACTTGAACAGGACTATCAAGCTACACCTAACTGATATATACAGATCCACTATACAGGAATGACTGACAAATTGAAGAGGAATAGCATTGCATTCATTGTCAAAAAGAACATTTCAAGGTCTATCCTGAAGTACAACACTATCAGTGATAGGAAAATACCCATATATCTACAAGTAAGACCAGTTAATAAGACTATTATTCAAATTTATGTAAACCACTAATGCCAAAGATAAAGAAATTGAAGTTCTTACCAACTTCTGCAGTCTGAAATTGACCAAACATGCAATCAAGATGCATTGATAATTACTGGTGGGAAAAAAAGAAGGATCGGTAGCTGGCAAATACAGCCTTGATGACAGAAACGAAGCCAGAGATTGCATGATAGAATTTTGCAAGATCAATGACCTATTCATTGGAAATACATTTTTTTCAACAACATAAATGGAGACTATACACACGGACCTCACCAGAAAGAATACATAGAAATCAAATCGACTACATCTGTGGAAAGAGATGATGGAGAAGCTTGATATCCTCAGACAGAACAAGGCTAGGTAGGGGTCAACTGCCGAACAGACCATCAACTGCACGTATGCAAGTTCAAGATAAAGCTGAAGAAAATTAAAACAAGTCCACAAGAGCTAAAGTATGACCTTGAGTATATCCCACATGAATCTGGAGACCTTCTCAAAAATAGATTTGACCCATTAAACACTAATGACCAAGGACCAGATGAGTAGTAGGATGGCATGAAGAAAGCAAAAGGTCATTAAAAAGAAAGAAAAGACCAAAATGGATGTCAAAAGAGACTCTGACATGGGCTCTTAAATGTAGAGCAGCTAAACCCAGTGGAAGAAATGATGAACTAAAAGAGCTGAACAGAAGACTTCAAAGGGTGGTTCGAGAAGACAAAGTAAGGTATTATAATGAAATGTGCAAAGACCTAGAGATAGAAAGCCAAAAGGGAAGAACACCCTTGGCATTTCTCAAGAAGAAAGAAATGAAGAAAAAAGTCAAGCCTCAAGTTGCAGTATTAAAGGATTCTCACAGTGGTTAAGAGCTACTGCTGCTAACCAAAGGGTGGCAGTTCAAATTCACCAGCTGCTCCTTGGAAACCCTACAGGGCAGTTCTACTCTGTCCTATAGGGTCGCTATGTATCAGAATCAACTCAATGGCAATGGGTTTGGTTTATGGGCAAAATATTGAACGATGCAGGGAACATCAATAGAAGATGGAAGGAATACACAGAGTCATTGTACCAAAAAGAACTGGTTGATGTTCAACCATTTCAGGAGGTAGCATATGATCAAGAACCAATGGTACTGAAGGAATAAGTCAAGCTACACTGAAGGTATTGGTGAAAAACAAGGTTCCAGGAATTGACGGAATCCCAATTGAGATATTTCAAAGAAGGGATGCAGCCCTGGAAGCACTCACCCGTCTATGCCAAGAAATCTGGAAGACAGCTACCTGGTCAACTGACTGGATGAGATCCATATTTGTGCCCATTCCAAAGAAAAGTAATCCAAGAGAATGTGGAAATTATCGTACAATATCATTAATATCACAAACAAGTAAAATTCTGCTGAAGATAATTAAAAAATGGTTGCAGCAGTACATTGACAGGGAACTGCTAGAAATTCAAGCAGGATTCAGAAGAGAACGTGGAACGAGGGATATCATTGCCACTGTCAGATGGATCTTGTCGGAAAGCAGAGAATACCAGAAAGATGTTTACCTGTGTTTTATTGACTATGCAAAAGCATTTGGCTGTGTGGATCATAACAAATTATGGATAACACTGAGAAGAATCGGAATTCCAGAGCATTTAATTGTGCTCATGAGGAACCTGCACATAGATCAAGAAGCAGTCGTTGAAACAGAACAAGAGGATACTGCATGGTTTGAAATCAGAAAAGGTGTGTGCCAGGCTTCTATCCTTTCTATACCTATTCAATCTGTATGCTGAGCAAATAATCCAAGAAACTGGACTATATGAAGAAGAATGCAGCATTAGGATTGGAGGAAGACTCGTTAACAACCTGTGATAGGCAGATGACACAACTTTGCTAGCTGAAAATGAAGAGACTTGAAGCACTTATTGATGAAGAACAAAGTCTACAGCCTTCAGTATGGATTACACCTCAACATAAAGAAAACAAAAATCCTCACAACTGGACCAATGAGCAACATCATGATAAACGGAGAAAAGA